GACATGAATCCTGGCTCTCGATCGTGCCGGATGGCTTCGCTTGCTCCAAATCTGCGGAAGACGTACTCTTCGTAGTTCTCCGCGATCGTCTGCGCTGTCCGTGACACACTAGCCTTGGCTATCACGTAGCCTGTGGATAAATCGACCCAGATGAGCAGCTCGGTGTTCCCACGACCTTGGTAGAGATGGAATGTGGTCCATCGCGATGCACTGGAAAGGGTACGTTGCTTGAATGTTGCCTGGCGTCACTACGCGTAGAGTCGGACGCCCTTTCCCGGTTTCACAACCCGTGCATTGTCCCACGTATCGCTGCACACTCTTGAATACACCACGCCAGTGAAAGTGCGTCCTGATTCGTTGGTACGTTCTACCGACCCCTTGATGTCCTCCCTCCAGACTCGTGTGATAATGGTGAAGTACATCTTGTTGTAGGTCTTTCGGCACCACCAGCTTCGCCAGCCAATCGCGGTCACCGTCGTCTCTTCCTGCGCGGGGGCAGTAAAGAAGCAGCCCACCGTCGTCCACGTCGAAGTTGCCCGCGATTTTACCGCAGGCTCGCGCTTCGCCAGCATCCAGGTCCTCCAAGTCGCCTGATAGGTACGCCTTGAAGTTTTACGAACCATTTCTCGTCGTTCTGTGCTCGCAGAATCCGATCCGTCCTAATGCGTTGAACCACATCTAATTGTAGCACCTCCGCCGAGATATTCGAGCGTGTAGCGATCAAGTCGTTGAGGCCATCAGGACGACAGACCCTTCGTCCTTCGGGAGTAGGAGCTCTTGGAGCCGGTTGAGGACAACCAAATCGTCGTGGTCTGCCACCGAAGTAATCACTGTGCCTTCTTGCTGGTGTAATGCGGTGTTGGCTATCCTATCTGTGCTCTGGTTCCAGTCTCGCTTGACGTGCAGGAACTCGTGGGCCGGCCACGTTCTCAGCCCATCTAATGCCCGCCGACGAAGAGAAGTCAAGCCTGGTGCCTTGCACTCGATCTCGCCTCTCATCTGCCGTATCACCAAGCTGAAGTCCCGCAGATGATCAGGCGTCCCCGGTCCAAGCTGGAGAGTAGATCGAAACCTAACAACAGACCCTGGTACTCCGCCTCATTCACCGTTAGGTGAGGCAAGTACTTCGATTCGGCTGCGACGACGATCCCTCAGGTAACTTCCAGACAATAGCGCTACACGCTCCACCGCCTCGTTTGACTCATGCCGATTCATCGAAACTCACGACTAACAGTTCTTCATCCTGTTCAACCGTAGGCAGCACCACAGGGATCAGCTGGCGTGGCTTCTTCCTCGGCGCGATAGACGACAAGATCGAGTCGACACTTTCCTGGGGCGTGATGCTCGCCGCGTGTACGCTTGACGATCTCAAGCGTCCAGGGGGATAGCAGCGCAGCCCAGTTGCCTAGTCTGGCTTGGAGTCCCGAAGATCGCATCAGCCACGCCAACGTGGAGTGTCGCGCTAAGACCCTGATCGAACTCGTAACCAGTGTGGAGTAGCACACGTCTAAGATTCCGAGAAGGGACAAGATCTCTTTCTCGACCATACCATAGTTGAGCTCATTGGGCTTCAGCGTACGACTAGTGAATGTCACCGGTATATACGTGCCATCGTGCTCCTATTCTAAGGCTGCGGAGATCGCCCAATCGCTCGCGTATACCACGACAACCGGTACCCGATCTGGATCGAAATGCCGCAGCACGGGTGCCGTCGCGATCTTGTTCTTCAACATCTCAAACGCCGTCTGCGCTCGGTCCCACTTGTCCCTCTCGTCCGTCTGCGCCATCAGCCTTTTCTTCATCAGCTTGGACTTCGTCCCCAGTCTTTAGGCCAGGGTTCCGGCTCTTCTCATGGAAGTCGATCTCTCGCAGCTCGTATAAGATCGAGGCATAGATCGCAAAATCCTCAACGAATCTGCTGTAGTAGTTGAGGCTTCCAAGGAAAAACTGCATTGCTCGCAACGTTCCTGGGAACGGGAGGGTAGTCAGCGTTTTCAAGTTCTTCGGGTGAGCTTCGAGGCCGTCTGCTGACACGCAGTGTCCTAAGTTATCTACCTTGACGCACCCCCAAGAGATCTTCACCACGCTGATCGACAGGTTCC